ATAGAAAGTACAAATCCATAAAGGGAATATATATGAATCCAATAAAAGGAAAAACCTTGGATATAGTCATTTAGAGAAAAGCAATAGGAACATAAATTAGTATAAAAGGAAGATAAATTTGTATAAAGTGTAATTAGCTTGTAAAAAGGGGAAAAAAATTTGTTTGCTTGTAGAAAGTGCTAGGATGAAGAGGTAAGATGTTGCCGTATTTTTGAACTATGTTAATAGCTTGTGGAGACAAAAAAATCAGAGATCTATAGTCTCTTTTATAAGTTAATTACTTTGATGTTTACTCTTTCAGTTTCTATAGCAATAACAAAAAAAGTATTTTCTACCATGAAAATTGTGACAACGAGACTTCGCAACAAAATGGAGGATGAATCTCTCTCAAACTCTTTGATTGCTTATATTGAAAAGGAAATAGTTCAGTTATTTAATATAGACAATATTATAAATAGATTTTGTGACATAAAGACTCGTTAAGTATTATTTTAATATATAATATAAAAGTAAGTTTTCAAAATTACAATATATTATTTTAAGACTTGAAAAGCTAGACTCCCCTGACTAAAATTCTTGGCTCCATCTCTAAGTGAGAGCTATTTTCTTTAATTCTAATAGATGATGGTTAAAAGTGTCATAGTATAAGGTAAGAGATTAAAACTTACAAATTTAATAAGGTAAATGACTCAAAATAGGTTTTAACCAATATATTTAGTAAATGGCGCACTTTTCAAATTTAGATTCCCCTGTTTTACAAGTGAGGTTATAAAACATTATTCTATTTAATTAAATTTTTTTTATCTTATACTTTAAGATACAAGTTAAAGTTAAAGATGTAATATATATTTTTTATAATTAATTCATATAAAAAATGATAAAAGTTGATTTAATTGTAATTAATAGATTAATTAAACTATTCACTTGATATTATCACTAAAATAAAAGTTAACTTTTGTTATTTTTATATAAATTAATTATAAAAAAATATTTATTATAGTTTTAACTTATACATTAAAGACACGTATTATACATCTTTAATTTAAATGTGTACTGTACTTTTGCTTCAAACTTTTTTTTTCTTGAAACTCTTTATTTTTTATTTTTTAAAGGATTTGTTTAATGAATTTTTTTACTCTATGTTTGAAGGGTACAGTTTAATACTATTTTTTAGTAAATTTATATGAAATATAAAAATTAGCATTAATTTTAATATCATTATCACGTATATAAATTTAATTAAATGATTGATAAATTAAATATTAATTTTATTTGTTCAACATAAATTTATTATAAAAATGTATATTTATCTTAATTTATCTATTTAAAATACAAGTTAAAAAAATCCTTGTTTAATATGGTAAGGCATGTGTTAAAAGTATTTTAAATGCACCTTTACTGCTTTAATTTACATAAAAAATAAAAGGAAATTTCTAACTTATATCTTAAGACACATGATAAGTGCATTTATTGTATTTTTTTATAATTAATTTGTATTGAGCAATTAAAAAGTAACTTTAATTTTATTAACCATTTAATTAAAAGTATGCACATGAAATTGATGATAAAAAACTGAAGTCAATTCTTTTTTTTCTATAGAAATTAAATGTAAAAAAGTATAATTAATGCATTTTTAATTTATGCCTTGAGGCACAAGTTAGATAAATTTAAAATAAAAAATTGGCATTATTTATATGGTTTTTGTACACATGTTAAAAGTGTAATTAAAACAACTTTTTATAATTAATTTATATGAAAAGTGTAAATGTTGATTTTAATTCAATCAATTAATCAACTAAAATCATTCATGTTTTATTGTTAAAATAAATGTTAATTTTTACAATTTTTAATATAAATTAATTACAAAATAATGAATTTATTGGATATTTAGGATACATATTAAACAAAGGAGTTAGTGTTTATCCGCCTTACCTCCAAAAAAATAAGAGGAAAAAAGACAAAAATCACCTTAATGCATGCTTTAAAAATATGATAGTTTAGTATTTTTAATAAAAATTTATTGAAACGACGTAGTTTTAAGATGATTTTCCTCCTAATCTTTAAGAGGTAAAGCTGATAGGTACTTTTTCCTTAAACAAACCCTTATTTATAACACCCATGTCTTATGGATATTTAAAATTAGACAATCGTTAAAATTAATTTGAATTTTTATTATTTTTACTGATTAATAATAAAAAAATATAATAAATATATTCTTGATCTATCCTCTACAAATATAAATTAAAAAATTATTTTTTAAATAATATAATAATTAATTAAAATAAAATAATAGGACATTACACCTATAATTGAGGTTGTAACAGTAAGACCACCTGACAATATTCCCTTAATTGGATTGCATGCCATTGATGAAAGCCATTAAAGATTCTGGTTTTGTATAAACGAATCCCGTTATCACGTGGACCCCTGTATATCTGCTATAAATTTATAAAGTGAAAATTAGAGTAATTTTTTTTAAGAGAAAAAAAAGGTTAAACCATTCTTCCTTTAGAAATTAACTATTTCATTCATAAATTCCACCCAATTTTAGCTGCTTTTTTTTTTTTTTCCGCTGTTTTGAGATTCTAGTGTCACAGAATAATGTAAATCAAATTTGAAATTTTCCCTGTGTAGCTATTATCGGAGTTCCAGTAGGAAGTCCAACGGGCAGTGAAGATTCCCCACCCCAAGGTAACACTTTTTATATGTATGTAGCCTTTCCAATATGATTTATATGTTGAGCATATTTAGTAGAAATGGATGATGATGACGAAAATACAGAAAAAAACATTTGTTTATATATCATATGATGTTGGTTTAATTTAATTTCTAAATCTCCGTTTGTGTTCTTGGAAATGATTTATATTTCAGTTTTTACTTTTTTTTTACATATTAATGATAAAAAGTACTAATTCAAAAAAAAAAAGTTTAATAAATGTACTTTTAATTTATGTTATAAAAATTTAAATTAAAAAAATTATTTTTTAAATGATATAATCGTTGGCAGAGCCAAAGGGGCTGAGTGGCTAAAGGCCTCCCTAAACTTTAAAAAAAAAATTTAATTTAGTTCCTTATGTTTTAATTTTATCATTTTTATCCTCACATATTTTATACTATTTAAATCATTTTCTTGCATTTGTGTTTTAAAGATTTCATTTAATGACAGAGAAAGATGAGGAAAATGAAGAAAAATATGAAATACGAGAAAAAATAAAAATTAATTAGGTAAAAATTGTTTATTATTATTTTTTTATAAAATGTTTGTTTGTTAATATCTTTACTTCCTCTTCGTTTATTTATAATTTATGTTTTTCTATTTAATATTTGTTTATTTTATCTTTTAGTTATTGTGTTTGTACTAGGTTATCAACTACTATTAGTTTATTGTTAAAACAAACAAATATTATTTAAAATATTTTTTTGATTTTTTAAATTGACGCAAAAATTCATTGTTTTTTGATTAAAAATATTTTTTTAGTTCCATCATTGGATATAATGATCAATTAAAATAAAATAATAAAACTTTAATAATTGAGGTTAAAACAATAACACCACCCAACAGCATTCCCTTAATTGGATTGGATCCGATTAATGAAAGCCATTAAAGATTTTGGTTATGCATCACATAATCCCGTTATCACGTGGACCACCATACTTCTGTTATAAATTTATGAAGGGAAAATTAGAGTAAATTTTTTTTTTAAAAAAAAGTTAAACCATTCTTCCTTTATAAAATTACTATTTTCTTCATAGATTCTACTCAATTTCAGCTGTTTTTTTGTTGTTGTTTTGAGATTCTAGTGTCACAGAAAAAAGCAAATCAAAATTGAAAATTTCCATACGCAGTTATCGCAGGAGTTACAATAGGAAGTCCGACTAGCAGTAAAGGTTCCCCAGGTAACATTAATGGATTTATATGATTTTTCTGTAGAGTGTGATTGAATAATGGTTTTATATGGATAAGGTAGTGTGATTGATATGTATTTACATCAATTGGAGGTTAAAGATGATTAGTGGCAAATAAGTTTTGATATGATATGATTTTTATATTTTGATTTAAAATCATTTGATAAATATTATTATGCACATGATATATGTTATGAGACACATTTTGAAGACCTAGTTTTAAGATTTTGTTAAAACAATTAGTTAATTACAAATGGAGGTACAAGAGTTTACATACCACATTATTTATATATTATAATATCTTTAGGTTAAATTTCTTGAGACTCATTACTCATTTACAAAGTTTCTAAGTTTGACTATTAATATGGAAATTTATGGTCATGGGATAAATGAATAGGAAATCATGAAATTTTAATTCTCATGAATAATTGTTTATCTTCATATGTGGTTTAACATATGGGTTTTGTGGTATTGTGTTTCTAATAAGCATATAAGTTGTCCAAGGTTGGATGAAAAGAATATATTTGCAGTTGGCAATGAACTATCTATAGAGAGACTAATTATACATTTGGAGAAAGCATAATTGTTGTTTTTTATTAACTGTATAGAAGTTTAGAAAATTCTGAAAATATATATATATATATATATATATCAAAAGTGGACTAAGGATTCTTGAAAGTTATAGTTTCAATGATTCGTCAAAATGTATTAAGGCAAATTTCAATGGTACAAGGTAACTGAGTTATTGATCTCACTCATGTAGATATTTATTTTGAGATGAGTTATTTAGTTTCATATATGGGTTTGGCATATGAGTTTTATAGTGTGACTACTCAATTTTAAATCAATATATTGGTTATGTGAAATTAAAGTTTAGGTTATAGCATACAACATTTAAATTAAAGTTAAATCCTTGGGTGTGTAACATATTTAGATGGCAATTAATCACCTTCAAGGAATAATCATGCACTTTTATTATGCATAATGATGATAGCTTAATTGTTGTGTTATTATGAGTGCATAAGATTTAAAATCTCAAAGAAAAGATATTTGATAAAATTATATGAATTTTAGTATTTGTGTATATTGGTTCATTTAAGATACTAGTAAAGATTTTATATGATTTTCTTTTAGTGTTAAAGTAATAGAACTACTTAATATTGAATGTATTCTTCAAAGTGTTATTATTCTCTCAATTTATATGACTTGTAATCAATATTTTGTAATTATTGAAGAGTCACTCTTAGTAAAGATAATATAAGATATGATTAAGAGGGATTATGTAACTATATATATAGATGTTAGTCCTAATAAGGTTTTATGATCAATATCAACATCAATGGTTCATTTATTAGGATTAATGGTTTTTATCACTAAATATTTTTGGGATATCAAAAAATTTTGTTCTAATGGGAGATTGGTTGCTCTCTCAATAGGGATTTTAGAATGTTACATTATTTATAAATAATTGTTCTTATGGAAGCTTATAAACTGATGTAGATAGTACTACCAAAGTAGGCATTTATTGAGAGTCATTAGTTTTTCAATAAGGATTTTGGAATGTTATGTTGTGTAAGTGTTCCAATGAGAATTTGGGAACTGATGTAGGTGATACTGCCAAAGTGGGTTATTTATTAAGATTCACAAATTTCTCAAAAAAGATTCTAGAATATTTGTTTCTTGAAATCAATGTGTATGATTATTTGTCCGAAAGTGGTGATTGTGCATATTGACTAAAAAAAAGGTGAGTATTAGTGAAGGTTCTTATTTTGGTTTCATAAAGAATTTTTTGGTTAAAGGTGATTATTTTTTGTGGGACTATTCTTGCTAATCCACTCATAAAGGAAGCTTATGTATGTTTTGCCCAAAGGTGAATATGTGATGCTACTTTTTGAGTTTCAATTAAGTTTTGTACCCATTAATTTTATCACATTTCCCTTGTCATTTAAAGTTAGTTAATCTATTGTGAAGATTGGAAACTGAACTATTAAAGATAAGAGATAAAGTTGTTACTTTTATATTAATGCCTGTAATATTCTATCCAAAGGTGATTATTGTATGTATTAACTTGAAGTAG